TGTTCAGAGCGGGGAGGCCGGTGCCGGGAACCAGTCCATCTGACACATTCTTACACACCCCAAGGCTCTCCACCCTGGCTACACGCAGGAATCACCTGAGCTTTTAAAATTCTGATGCCCAAGCCTCACCCCAGACCGATGAAATCTGAGTCACTGGGGGTGCAGCCTGGGCACATGTTTTAAAGCCCCCCACCCCCACCTCTCCAGGTGGTTCGGTCATGCCAAGGTCAGGAAGTGGACCAGGCTGGGGCGACATCAGCCACAGGCCAGTGAATGGACCCAGTCAGTCTGCTGGGCAGCTCCACTGGGCTTCAGGCCCACGGGGGACCCTCCCACCGACTGGGGTTCGGGGCCGGCTGTCACCAGGACCTCGGTTGCATCCACGTAGCCTCTGTCATCACGAGTCCTCATCGCTTAGCAGGAGCTGGGCTCGCTGTGCGATTGATTAGGGAAGCGTATCCGGCCTCCTCCAGTTGGTTCCGAGTTGGCGGGACCACACGTAAGTGGCCAAGTCCCGACGGGTCTGGATCATTGCCGCCAGCGCTGTGGTTTGAGTCCCCGGGCTGCTTGCTGCAGAGGCCGTGGGTCAGTTCTGTTGTCCTAGGGGTTCTGGCCATGGCCCATTTGCATTTTCTGTACCTCAGACCCGCAGGAGAGCTCGGTGGTCCTCAACAAACACCCCTAGGACGGCACGGCGTGGGGAGCCCCATCTGTGCCCCTGACACGTCTGCCTTCGTTCCAGCCACCTGCCTTTTGGGGACCAGTGCTTTCCTCTTCAAGGGCCCCGCATCGGGGCCACCTCCCGTCCTCCCCACCCCGACCTTTGGCCTCAGCCTTCACCTCTCCACATAATGCTTGTGTCATCCCAAAGGACCCCCTGCCGTGGTCTGTCTGCCCGCTGAATGGCAACCACACCGGCTTCGAGGAGGAGTGTGAGAAGGCTTCCTCCACGCAGTACTTCTGGTACAGGAAAACCCTCAACATCTCACCATCCATCCAGGACAACGGGAGCGTGCAGTGGGAGCCGGCGCTGTGCCTCATCCTGGCCTGGCTCGTGGTGTACCTGTGCACCCTGCGGGGCACCGAGTCAACGGGCAAGGTGGGACGGGAGGGGCTGGTACTCTGGGTGGGCAGGGGCAGGCAGCAGCAGGCAGCGGCCTCCGCCCAGGCCCTGGGCCAGCCAAGAGGCTGCCTTCTGCAGTCGAGGGCGGAAGCCGTGCTGGCGGGAGGCATGGACGGTGAGCTGGCACAAACCCCCTGCTGGACGACTATAAAAGTGGCCAAAGGAATGTGAAGTTGCACCCCTAAACCTCAAAACTTCACACTCCCTAAAAAGACAGTCTTTCTGTACTAGCGAGTCCCAAACCCATAACACTCAGGTGGCACCAAGCAACTAGAAGTGAGGTTTCCCTCCTTTAAAAACCTTAAATAATCGAAGGTATCCCCAGGACATCCTAGCCACTGGCTGTCAAGCTGAGCTGCACATTGGTCCCACCTGGAGCGCGTTGACAGCTCTGCTTTCTCAGTCCTACCCCCAAAGGCTCCAGGGAAGGCGATGTGGGGTGCAGCCTGAGCACTGAGATTTTAAAAGCTCCCCAGGTGCTTCTGATGTGCAGCCCAGTTTGAGAACCTTTGCTCTCAGCTGCTTTCAATGGCCCTTCGGAGCTCTCAGGCCTGATTTATAAACCTGTTCTCCTTGGTGCATCCCCAGGCTGAGAGGCTCCTTTATCTCTAATCTGCTCCATGGAGAAGGTTTTCTTTGAGTGTTTCCTTCATCTCCATCTTTCTCAAGTGTCAGCAGTTGCCCTGGACCCCCACGGTCCCCACCTCATCCTCGGTCACTCCTCATAGCAGATCCACCACGAGCTGGGCAGGACCAGCGCCTCAAGCTCGCAACAGCCCTTCGTGGCAGATTTCATATCCCAGTCACCTGAGGCTTAGAGAGGTAAAGTGACCTGCCCGAGGGCACCGACCGGTGAGGGTAGAGCGGGCACACCCAGCCCTGCCCCAGGGACTCCCCATCGCCTTGGTTTGGTGAGCCACCTCCTGTGTGCTCTCGCCACGTCTTTTGTGACTTAATCGATCCCAACCTTTCCCTTCTGAAGATCCTAAGAGTCCACCTGTCCTCACCCTCTGGACCACCTGAGTCACCTCCTCCAGCCCCGCCATGTCTTCTTCTGAAGCATCGAGACCAGAACTACCCCCAGTATTTTAGGAACCCTGTGACGACCCCAGTACTGTGCTTGGTAGGACATTTTCTTTTGGGTTCCAAGATGCTGTGATGGCCAGTATCTTAGACCGAAAAGCACCCACCCCATCCCAGGACGAAAAGCACCCACCCCATCCCAGGAGCTGAGGAACCAGTGGATGCCCTCTGGCAGAGCTTAGAGCCTACAGCAACTCACCCTGTCCCATCTTAAAGCTTGGCTGATATTTATGCTCATAAAAAGTGTTTTTGCAATTTGTCGTTGCCAGATTATTATGAACATGACCCAAAAAGATCTGAGAGCAACACCTACAAACTTAGAGATTTAATGAAGCCATCTTTTTTTCTAGATCGTTTTATAAATATTTAAATGAGGCCACGTCATGCTATAAAATTTATTCTGTCTCTTTCCTCTGGTTAAGCCACACCCTCTCCGTGACAGAAGTGCCCCATCGGCGTTATTTACAGGGATTGATTTTGCCAGTGGCGGTGTCCCATTTCCTGGCCTCCTCTGTTGGAATCACCTTTTTCCCTCCAAGAGTTTTTGCAGATCTGTCAAAAATGGTTTCTCCCAGTAGTTAAGGCTGGATCACGTGCCAGCTTCCCCGAGCAAGGAGAAGCGAACCACCCCGGTCACGACTCTAGAGAATCTTCCGGGAAACGTAATCACCTGAGAGGAAGGAGAGAGATGCCAAGGGCTTGCCCTTAGTGTCCTCTGAGTGTCTATTAGTTGTGGACATTGGTCACCCCTCCCCTGTTGTCCCTTGATTTCATCCAGCTCGCTCTCTTTCCACTTATTCCCCTTTATCTCTCACCTGGTGTATTTCTTCGTAATCTCCGGTGGATTTACGACTCTTCCCAAGGTCCAGTGACCTCAGGACCTCAGCTGAGAATCGATGATGAAAACACACAGGGTAGGGAGCACAGAGTGTCACTCTGGTGGCCTCGGAAATTCATGGGAAGATGATACCACACCTCGGTGGGAGTATGTGCGATTTGAGCCCATCCAGATGTGGATCACAGCTGTCTTTCTCACAGAGGGACCTAAACTTTAAGGAAACTGCTTTTGCACACACACACGCACACATTTGCAAAATATTTCTTTGCTTTACCTAAGACGCTTTGGTGCACACACGAAGTGATATGTGGAAGTGCCAGTCCCGAGGAGCGTACGTGTACCCTAAGGCCTCTGTGCTCAGGCTTTCTGAAAGTTAGAATTACCCAGAGTATGAGAGGCGATGCCAGATCCACCGTGAAAACCGAAGGTAGAACGTCATTGAACTGAAGATGCGTGTCCACGGGAAAAGATTCGGTTGACCAAAAATGTCTGTACGTGCAATCATAAAGCCAGTGGAAATGAGACCTTCCGTAAAAATCACATCACTGAATTTCTATCGTATTTACTACAGGGACACTGTCCCCGCACCAAACCTCACTTCTGGTCCTTTACGAGCACTCGTGACCAAGCCTCTCTCGGGCCCTGGTCCTGAGAAATCTGTCCTTCCTCGAATCCCTGACTTTTTTCTTAAGAGAAAATATATAAATCTTGTAAGCGATTGTTCTTTGCTTAGGCCACTAGGAAACTCGGAATGAATCCAGCTCAGAAACTGGGCAGAGCCTCACACACGCATGCCGCGGGCTGCCTTTTCCCTTGGGCCCACAGTTTCTTTTGACACTGATTTCTCTCCTAGCGATTTTTAAGTGTTACTGTTCTGGACGTATGTTTGTGAGCTGCCCCGGATCCTTTCTGGAATACGATCCGCTTCAAAGGAGGCCTCAGCACCTGCTTTTCTCTTCTCTACTGAACCCAGAGATTTCCTGGCAGTTACAGACGTAGGCAACGGCATCCCCCCACCCCATTTCCCAGCCCAAACCCAGAGCCTACGTCTAACCAAGAATCTCGATGCCTTTCCAGCTATCGGCAGCCCGAACACGCAAGACAGCATGGTGCCTCATGGAGATGGCGGGTCTGTCCTGGGCGAAAGGGAGCCTGAGGTCACCACATCTCCAGGAGGCTGACTGTGCCCTCTGGTGCCCACAGGTGGTGTATTTCACTGCGTTGCTGCCCTACTGTGTGCTCATCATCTACCTGGTCAGGGGCCTCACGCTCCACGGAGCCACCAATGGCCTGGTGTACATGTTCACTCCTAAGGTATGAACTGGAGGGAAGGGTGCCCCCCTTCACCCTGCCATCTCCCAAGATGGGTGAAGGGAAGGGAAGACGGAGGGTGGGTGAAAGCTGTCATGTACCCATGAGGTTGATGTGACCCCTTTAGGCTGTGGGAGGGGTGTGCATTACCTGTGGGCACTGGGGCACATCCTCAGCCGGGCAGCCCCCAAGCCCTGTGAATTCTGAGGCATTGAGTCTTTCGTCCGCTCCTTTTCGTCATCCTTACTGCCCCTCGACTGACTGCTACCCAGCCCCACGTCTGGCCTCCTGGCTCCCACCCGGTCTCATCCCAAGCCCTCTTTCCAGCCTGTAGACTCAGCTGTCCACCATGAGTGTCAGCTGATCATCTCGCTCTCCTGCTGGCCACTTCCAGGCACCCCTTTTTCTACAGGGGCAAATCCATTCTCAGCAGGGTATTCCGGGATCCCTCCCGAGCCCACCCACTCCCCAGGCACCCCACAGCCAGTACTCATCAATGCGGGGGGTGCTATCGCCTTGGGGGCAGGACAAGTTCTTCAGCAAATCTGGACCCTGGAAACAAAATGACTGTGGCAGCACCGCCCCCCAAAAAATCCCCGCCATCACATTCCAAACGGCCCCTCGTGTCCCTGCTGGGATTCAGCCCAGACGCAGATCAGCACCAGGCGGCACCCCCTCCGCCTCCGGAGGCCCAGACCCGTGCAGTGCCCGGAGCATGGATCGGGGGCTTGAATCCTTTTGAAAGGATTTGACCCGACACTTTTCAGTGGCACACCTCCCATGGGTAACGAGATGAGGAGGATATGACAGGAGAGATGTGTTTCATCTGTGGGGAATGGACAGGACACAGAGGGGCCGGGAGTGCTGGGCTCCAGTCCCGGGCTGCCTCTGGCTGACTGTGTGCCGTAGACACGTTCCTCCCCGTCTCTGGGCCTCCCTCCCTCGGCCGGTTCATCAGCCCTGTCCCTGCTGGCTTTCCAGATGGAGCAGCTGGCCAACCCCAAGGCCTGGATCAACGCGGCCACTCAGATCTTCTTCTCGCTCGGCCTGGGCTTCGGCAGCCTGATCGCCTTTGCCAGCTACAGTGAGCCCTCCAACAACTGCCAGAAGCACGCCATCATCGTGTCCCTCATCAACAGCTCCACCTCCATATTCGCCAGCATCGTGACCTTCTCCATCTACGGCTTCAAGGCCACCTTCAACTACGAAAGCTGCGTAAACAAGTAAGCCCAGGCCGCTCAGGGAGGCCCAGCCCTCGAGGGGGCGAGGCTAGTCTCCAAAGCTCCGAGCCGAAGGGGCACCTGGAAGAGGTGGACGCTGAGAAGTCAAGGGGTGTCGGGCAAAGGGCACCGGCTCTGCGGTCCTCAGTGCAGTAGCTGATGGCAAGTCAGTGTGGGTTGGTTCCTCTTGTCATCACTGTTTTTATTCGAGGCTTCCTCAAAATACCCTGCCCTTTAAATGGTCACCAAATCAACAGATCTCCTTTGTTCAAGGCCTCATCTCATCAGAATAGAAAAGGCAGGGGGAGGACAGTCCCCAGGGCCTAAGCTCCCAGGACGGTTTGGCGCCAACAGTCTTCCCAATCGTTGAAGGTCAGTCTGATGCTCTGCTCTGCAGGGTGATCCTGCTGCTGACCAATTCTTTTGACCTCGAAGATGGCTTTTTGACAGCCAGCAACCTGGAGCAAATGAAGGGCTACCTAGCATCCACCTACCCCAGCCGATACAGCGAGGTGTTCCCACAGATTAAAAACTGCAGCTTGGAGTCGGAGCTGGACACGGTAAGGCTCTGGCGAGGTCGCCGAAGAAGGAATTGTCCCCTGCACTCCTTGTTGGAGAAGGAGGACTTGAGCGCCATGCTCTCCGAGTGCTGCCCGGGAACCCCAGTTATTACAAAGCCCTTTGGGTTCCCCGGCCCTTTCTTCCTTCTCCTTTTCTCTTTTTAAATTTTAAAAAGATAGGAAAGTACAAAGAATAATATAGCAAGCCCCATATATCTACCACCCTGAATGTAAACATTTGTAAACATTTTGTCATTTGGGGCTCAGGGTTTTATACATATACATATACACATATACGTATATATGTGTATATATACATCTATATCTATATCTATATCTATATCTATATCTATATCTATATCTATATATGAAAAATACATTTCAGGGACAAAGTTAAAAACCCTTCTGTTACTGGCCCCCAACTTTCCCTGCTTGCCAGAGACAAGAACCTTCATTTTGACATTTTTATTAACCGTACATATTTTTAAATAATATCGTTTTGCTGGCAGTTTTTATATGGAAATAAACGGTCTTTCTCATTCAACATTCCATTTTTGAGATCTGTCCATAATAGTACATGTGGAATCTACTTTATTCGGTTTAAGTGCTGAATTTTATGGCAGCACACAAATAAATATACCATAATTTATTTATCCATTCCCTCACTAATAGACATTGAGCTTTAAAAAAATTTTGTTGTTGTTAAAATTACCCTTATTTATAGTTTACAGAATTCTCTTTACGACCCTGGGATCTTTATTTTTTCACATTAATTTGAGGTTGAATTCAACAAGTTCCACTGAGGGAAAGTAGCCCTTTAGGAATTTTTATTAGAATTGCATTGATTTTATAATGTAAATTGGAGAGGTTTAATATTTTTGATTCGGGATTTTTTTGTGACATTTGATTCAAGAACGTGCTTTATCTCATCATTCACTCAGATCCTTTTTATTCTTCAATTTTCTCTATGAATATCTTGGCACATCTTTCATTAGCTTTTTATCTAGGTACCTTATATTTTTGTCGCTATTATGAATGGTGTCCTTACTTCCTGTTCCCATCATCGTTTTTGTTGCAAAAGAAAGGTAAAGGTTTTTGTATGTTGATCTCGTATCTAGCGACCTCGATGAATTCTCTAATTGATTCTCATATTTGTCTATATATTTGCTTCGGTTTTCTATATAAACTCATATAACTTGCAGGTATAATTTTGCATTTTTCTTTTTGATCCTTACATCTCATTTCTGTGTGTGTGTGTGTGTGTGTGTGTGTGTGTGTGTGTGTGTTTGCTAGGACTTCTAGCACGATAGAAGTGGGAATGAGAGTGGGCGTGTTTGTCGAATTCTTGTATTTAATACTTCTAGAGACTCTTTCTAGAGGGTGTCTCTAGAGTATATTTTACAAGCTCAGGGAGTATTGAAGGCCCACGGCGCTGGCTGCCAGCAAGCTCCCCGGAAGGCTTCGTGGCGCTTTGTGTCATGGGTGGAGTCATACGAGGCCATGGCATGGATAAGACCACACGTTGTTCCTTTGGGCTTCAACTTCTGTTCAGTGCTCTTGTCCCAAATGTCCTCTGTTCTCGGCACCTGCGATGCTTCCTCACTTACTTTCGAGCTTGGCTCAATGTCCAAGAATTATGTGGTTATTGGTTTCTTTAGACTTTTTCCTCTTGTGGTTCCCCACACCCCCTCATCCCACTTTATTCTCTACTGTTTGGAATTTGTGTCCTCCATTTCTCTTCTTGAAATTTTCCCATGTATATTTAATTTAACCAAGTCTACAGTTAAATAATATCTCGACTTCCCTGCCAACCAGTACAAGGACTTTAGAACACTTTCAACTCATCCCTCCTGTTTTTACACCATTTTCGTCCAGTTCTCTTTGTCAACCCCATGAATTGGATGCAATTGTCATTTTATACAGGACGTATTTACCTTCGTATTTACCGTTTTATTTATTCACCTTTCTGTCCTGAATCCCAGCTGTCTTGTGGGGTTTGGTTTGTTTTTCTTCCTTAAAATACATTCTTTTACAACAGGTTTCTTGATGATAAATGTGCTCAGGTTTTGTTTGTCTGTAAATGTCTATTTTGGGCTCCATTTTTAAAAGGCAGTTTTCCCCCGAATAGACAATTTCAAATTAACAGTTATGTTCTCCCAACACTTTGAAGATTTTGCCTCGTGATTTAAGCTTCCATGCTTGCTGTTCAAACATTCTTTCATCCTTTGCAAACGCTCAGTTCCCCAGCTTTTTCTCTTTGATTTTTCTCATCGTCTTCCCTTTGTCTTTGGCCTCTGCAATCTAAGCACGGAGGGATTTTTATTTATCTAGTCTAGGCTTTGGGTGACGTTGGGCTTCCTGGATCTGTGGATCTATGTAGTTTATCAGTTTTGGAAGATTCATGCCTAATATCTCTTAATCAGTGCCTCTCCTTTATTTTCTCCCTTTAGAATTTCATTTAGACCTATGTTAGACCTTCTCGTCAACCCTACACGTCTATTAATTTCTCTTTTATTTTTTTTCCCACCTTCTTATCCTCTTTTTTGCTTCATTATAGATTTATTCCTTGGACACATCTTCCAGTTCATTAATTCTCTCTTCAGCCATAAGTAGTATTTCACTGTCAATTGAGCTTTTTAATTCAGTATTTTTTTAGACACTATTTTGTTAAATGTGCTTTTCATCCCAATAGTTTCTTGTTATATGTTTATCTCTGTAATTTTATCCCTTATTTTTTTAAATGCATCTTGAGTAGTTGTCCCGATGGTGTCCTCGGGTCAGAGTGAGGACAGTTAGCCCTCGAGGGAGGAAGAGTTTTATGACACTGTTGAGAATTGTCTACTCACGATTGTAATACGAAGCAGATCGATTTTAGTAGATTTTGTTATCTTTAAATTCTCTACAAGGAGTCACCCCCTTATCGTCCCACTCAGGATGAGCAATCCCACCATGCCATCGAGCCTACTTATAGTCTGAATCTGACCGACTACCCAGTACCTGCCGCTCTTGGGGAGGGGTGTTCTAAATCTTATTTCTTATCCCTGCTGACTCTACACTCACAGGGGCTTGTCTTCTCTCGGGTTTATAAATCTGCAAGCTCGCTCTCGCTCTTCTCTGGTGATCCTGTGGGTCTAAATCAGGAAAGCAATCCTCCAGAGAGAGTTTGCTGCCAGGGGACACCCCACCAAGACCCCTTCCAACTCCCTCAGGTGGTTCGTCTCTAAGCAGGAGTCCCAGGCTCAGTTTCCCCACTATTGTGTTATTGCCACAGGGACATGGCCACTGAGCGCCCCTGCGCCTGCTGGCTGACCGCTGGGCCAGGCCGGCTCCCCACCATCCTGCTGCTCTGGCCCCACCTTCCCACCTCAGCTCTCAGCCACTGAGGCTGCAGACGCCTAGTCAGTCATGATAGCAGAAGCAGAAATTATCCAAACATTGGTTTACTGTGTTCCCCAGAATTCACATGAGTTGGGGCAGAACTGGAGAACTCAGTTCCCAGCTCGACTGAAATGTCTGCTCACACTTCACAAACATCACCCCTGACAGCTCACATGTCTGTCCAGCCTGGGGAAGCCCGAGGGGCTGGTCTGCAGATGGGAGCTCCAGCCACGTTGCTTAGCAAGCAGTGTGTTTAAGGAATCAAAAGTTCCTTGGGTATGTAATTGGTGTCTTCTCGCCGCGGGCAGGCCGTCCAAGGCACTGGCCTGGCTTTCATCGTCTACACGGAGGCCATTAAGAACATGGAGGTGTCCCAGCTGTGGTCAGCACTGTACTTCTTCATGCTGCTGATGCTCGGCATCGGGAGCATGCTGGGCAACACGGCCGCCATCCTCACCCCTCTGACTGACAGCAAGGTCGTCTCCAGCCACCTGCCCAAGGAGGCCATCTCAGGTGAGCGGGCCGACCCAGAGAGAGGCTGGGGTTTGGGGAGGATGGGATGTCGGGGCACATGGATGGATGGGTTGCCTCAGGGGCCCTGTGCTCATGGTGGTGGCCACAGGGGCTGTTGCCACCTCACAGTGGTCCCGCCCTCACCTTCTCCTCGCCTCGGGCGGTCGGGGGCCAGCGCAGGTGAGTCTGGTTCTCCACACCACGGGGAAGTGAAGTGACCACCCCAACAATGAGAAAAGGCCAAAGTCCTCGGCCTGGCCCCCGGAGCGCTCCAGGCTCAGAGAGAGCTGCTTTCGTCTGTTTTAACTGAGGTTTAACAATTATAGCGTGGACACTTCTCAAGCACAAAGTCAGCGAATTTTACATATCCATCCACCCAAGTGACCACGACCGAGGTCGAGACACTGCATTTCCCACACCCCGGGCCCCCCAGTCAACACGCCCCCTCCTCTATTCTGGTGATACCATTTTAGGTTTGTTCTCCCTATTGTCCAACTTCACGTAAACGAAACCACACAGTCCGTATCCTTCGTGTCTGCCGCCTTCACGCGAACTCTGTCTGTGGGATCCGCCCGCGACGCGGCAGCGAGCACCGGTCTGTCCCTTCCCTGCGCGGCGTGCTCTGCGTCGCAAGACGAACAGCACCGTTCGTCCGCCGGGTCTGCTGCTGGTCGTGAGGAAAAGAACCTGCTTTGACGATCGCTCGTAGCTCTTCCCCGTGTTGCTCCAGCCCCATCTGCTCCGACCCGAGGGCCGCGCCCCTGCTTCTGCCCACACCAGCCCTCCACACCCAGGACGTCCCTCCTCCCAGCCCCAATCGAAGCCAGCGCCCACCCCATCTCAGAGCCCCCGAGCTCCCATCCCATCTCAGAGCCCCCGAGCACTTAGCAGCACCCCCTGCACCCATAGCCATGCTGTGTGCCTTTAACTCCTGGCCACCCTAACCTTTCCTCCTTGTGCGTCCCCCCAGGATGGGGAGTGGTGGCTGGTGGTATCTGGCATGGAAGTGGAGAGGGCAGGTGGGACCTTTAGAGTCAAATACTTTTTGTGGGGTGCCCAAGAACCTGGGTTCTGGGAGCAGAAGGGCCTCTGTCTCAATCCTGACTCCACCGTTTACGTGCTGTGGGGCGCTGGGAAAGTTACTCAGCTTCTCTGCGCCTTGGCTTCCCCGTCTGCGAACGGGAGCTCCTGACACCTGCCTCAGAGGTGTAAGGACCCAGTGCATGGCACGTGCCCGGGGCTCGGTGGGAACTGGGTCAGCGCTGTTTTTCTTCCCTTCCCCCTTGTAGTCGGACACAAGTCTTCGCTAGGAGGTCCTGAGAGGGTGTCCTGCAGCTCGACTCTCCTGCCCCGACTCACCTCCCATGAGCTCAGGGGCTGAGCTGTTGGGATAAACAGCCATCACCAGACTCAGTCTGGGCGAGATCCGCCAGACAGTGATGCCCACAACTTCCTCTTTTCCACTGAGCTGATGCCCCCTGCAGGACAATGCTGTGAATGAACATCAGTGATCCCTGCAGACACTCTTGGGATGCCTTGCCTCCCCCTCACCCCACACACACAACCCCCTGCAGGACAATGCTGTGAATGAACATCAGTGACCCCTGCAGACACTCTTGGGATGCCTTCCCTCCCCCCCACCCCACACATAACACATACACGCAGCACACATACAGGACACACACACACAGCACACACACACACAGCACACACACACACAGCACACACACACACACCACACACACACACAGCGCACACACACACACACACTTTCAGAGTGGCCAAACCATGACAGCACTTCCAACCCACGCGGAGGACCCCATCAGCCAGAGTCCCCTTGGGGTCCATGGCTCTGCTGCCCCACAGAAAACTGGGCGCCCAGGTGCGGGTCTCAGGCTGGTAAGCAGGTGGTCTTGTGTCGCAGGTCTGGTGTGCCTCATCAACTGTGCCATCGGCATGGTGTTCACCATGGAGGCCGGCAACTACTGGTTCGACATATTCAACGACTATGCGGCCACCCTGCCGCTGCTGCTCATCGTCCTGGTGGAGACGGTGGCCGTGTGCTTCCTGTACGGCCTGAGGAGGTGAGCGGCCCCCGCCCCGCCCTTTCTCGGTGTGCTTCTCCGAGCTCGGCACTGTTCGGCAGCGTTTTCGATGGGACCCCAGATCTCGGCTCGTTCCCTGCCTCCCTCGGTTTGCCTTCAGCCACCATCCCCCCAATGTCCCGTACCTTTCAGTAAGGGGTATTGAAGAGCCACGTCGAGTGTGGTCCCAGAGGAGCACCGACTCCCGGGGCAGAGAATCCTGCCTCCAGACACTGGGCGCTCTGACCGTCGGCCAAAACCAGTATTATTTTTCAAGCATGCTGACCAAAGTCCAGTTGATAACTCACGCCTGAGAAAATGTGGCAAATTCAGGTCATCAGGCTCCCAGCCCTGCTGCACAGTGCAGCCCTGGCCGGTTTAAATCTCTCAGGTGATGGACGGTGGGTGGGGCCGAGACCCAGGGGTCCAGAGCGGCTCCCAGACCTGGGCATGGAGCTGGAGCTCTCCGGCCCAGGCCGTTTCACACTTGACCTTGGGCCAGCGCCCCAGGATGCTGATTAAGCAGGTCCGAGTGGGGCCCAAGAACTCACGTTGCTAACAAGCTGCAGGTGAGTCTGGGTCGACACCCTGAGAGCCATTTCGAGTGTGGTCCCAGAGGAGCAGTGTCCGGAGCTTGTTCGAAGAGCGGGGTCTCGGGTCCCCCGTATGCCATCATGTCCAGGGGTCCGAGGCACATCACGCTCTGGGAAGCGCCGCTCAGATGGGAGCCCCATTAGAAGGGCTGTGCCAAGTTGTCCCCACACACAGTCTTTTCTGATCCTCAGACCGTTTGGAGGCAGGTGGAGGCCGGGTTGAGGGATTTCCATGGTCAAACGATTTCGGGTCGTAATTAAACAAAGCCAGATTTCTCTCCCATGGGATTTCTCAAAGCCTTGGAGACAACTGTGAATCTCAAACAGGGGGCTGTCATTTGCAGAGTTTCTAGAACCACGTTCGTGGTCAAGGAAGGCCTTTCGTCCTCCCCCACAACTACTAATGTTGCAAGGACATTGGTGTCTGAGTGACCAACTCTCCCCGTTCGCCTGGGACTCGGGGATTTCCTGATACATAACACTGGAAACGTCCCGGGTGAACTGGGACAAACTGGTCACCTAAGAGAGGTTTCAGGGTAAGGAGAGAAGGTCCGGGAGAGAGAGACAGAGCCGAGGGCCCACTGGAGGTGCTGGGGAGGGGGCGCGAGTCCATCCAGAGGACGTGGTGGGAAGTGGTGGGAATGGAGGGGGAACCAAAGGTGCCCGGTCCGGGCAGGGTCGGCGGGGAGGGGGATCCATAAGCAGCCAGGTCTGGGAAGGACCAGGAGAGGGGAGTCTTTCCGCTCGCTCAGGGGACAGCACCATCTAGTGGCCACCTAGCAACAGTGCCATGCCGCCTTTTTTTCTGCAGCCAGCTCTGCCCATCTTTCTCCACCCAGAAAAGTGGAGGGCAGGGAGGTAAAGGGACAAGAACACCCAACTCTATCTGCCATGTGTGGTCTCGGAAATCCCAGGCGTTCACATTATGCACGTGAGGCTTTGTGGCCAAGAGCCCAGGGCCCCACTAGGCCGGCGTAGCGTGGGGGCAGGTAGAGGTCTCTACAGGCACGTGTGGGCCTTGGCCCCTAACGCTGTGAAAATGGGGAGGTGGCTGGGTCAGCCTTTCCCAAAGTGCTGCAGATACTTTCCATACTTATTTGTGCGTACGTTAAAAAATACGCGATTACCCTATCGAACCCGCGATAAAATGGATGCTGTTGTGCCATAGCTAAATTTAGGCAAATTTAAAGAAAAGAGAGCCTGCAGACATGCCTGGAAACGCAGCGGTGGGCTGCGAGCAGCTACGCGGCTTCCCCCCACGCCAGCTCCAACGGACCGTGGTGCTTTGGGTTCCGGGTCTGAAAACGTGCTGCGGTTGCAGGGGACAGAGGAGATTCCCCTTGGGGGACATTTATAATGGGCAGTAGAGTCGCTGACAGACAGCAGGGGGGAGGGGTGGGGCAGAGCTGCTCTTGGGGTCCCCTGGCATTGAGGATGGCTTGTCAGATGTCCCGCCATGCCGTCTGTCCCCACATTGCTGGGGGTACCGTACCTCTGGTCTCCACCAGCGGCCTCCACCTGAAGGCTGGCACCAGGCAGATGTCTTCTGACATCTCTGTGGGGGATTTGCTTTGCCCCGCTTTGTGACAACCTCAGCCCTCCCCCCAACACCCCTCTCCCCAGAAGAAATCACAGAGGGCCCGGTGGTTGTGTTCAAACCTTAGTGGTGCCAGAACACGCTCCTCCTAGGCAAATAGGAGGTAGAAGCTGGAGCCCCCCATCACCCCGACAGCATGGATAATCCAGACTTCCTCTTCCTGTTTTCCAAGTAGATTTGAAAGTGACCTTCAGGCCATGACTGGCCGCACTCTGAACTGGTACTGGAAGGTCATGTGGGCCGGCATCAGCCCCCTGCTCATCGTCAGCCTCTTGGTCTTCTACCTGAGCGACTACATCCTCACGGGGACCCTGCGGTACCAAGCGTGGGACGCCTCCCAGGTACCTGCTGGCTCGGGAGCATGGGCCTTTAGTGTCTGAAACCAAGCAACTAGTTCCATGGCGTGGGCAGGTTATTTGTCACGACATGGAAACCTCACCCAGGTATTTTAAAACTCTCAACCCAAGACAGCAGAGCTGGGCTTTGAGCTTTTCACCATACGCAGCAGTAAATAGAGTAAGATTCCCTCCGGGACCTCCCAGGAGGGTACTGGGTTCCTGCCTCCCCACCGTGTGCTTCTTCTTGGCCAGCAGGCCCTCCGGCCTCTGTCCACTCAGGCCTCCTTAGGAAAGGCCGAGCAAGACTGGACGGCATAGCACTGACCCTGGCCCCTGGCCCCAGCTAGAGCAGGCTCCTGGGCCCTGCAGGGACTCGTGGTAACACTTGAGTTGCTGGATCCTGGGAGGGCCTGGCTCCGGGTGCAGCTGAGACAGAACTCAGTGAGCAGCTCACTCAGGGTGCTGGGTGGCAGCTGTCCACCAAGCAGAAGGGCAGTATGTCACTCTTTTAATAGCCAGCGCAGTCACCTCAGCACATTCCGCCTGAGGATCAGCCCTGGGTGTCCTCACGCAGACACATTCTCCTAGAAAAAATTTGGCCAATTTGGATTTTCTTTTTTTCCTCTGGGTAGAAGACACTGTCCTTTAGCATATAGTGCGTGTGGTGTGTGCAGAGGGGGTGTGTGAAGGGCCCAGCAAGCCAGCTCACGCCACTCCACGTGACCGGTCGGGGTGGAAGGCGGCCCTCTGTCTGGTCCCAGCAATGGTGCCCACTCCGCTTCTCAAACTGGTGGAGGGCTGTGGTGGCCTCTCCATCCACAGCAGACCGAGTCTTTTCTAAGATGCAATAACGACGCAGTAAAATGAAAAAACGATAAGATACAAGCGTCGATTACTTATTAGATTCGACAGGCACGAGTATGCTGTCAAATTGCTGAGACAGTTTCTAAATGTTTCCTCTCAGTTCCTGTACTTGTCTGTGCAGAATATTTTAGACTAACAGACGAGTAACTAACAAAAAGTTCATGGGCTGGTCCCCGTGGCATTTTGGTTTATAAACCAGACTTCCTTGACAGTGAACACCTGTTCCCCTGGACATGGCTGCCCTGTGCTTCTTTTGTGGAAAGATGGCATGTATTGAATTTTTGGCCTCATTTCTCATCAGTTTCAATGTATGTGCGTTTAGGGAGACATCCATCACCCCACCAACTAAATCCAGGGGCCCAGAGAGACTGCTCCTGAGACCATAGCTTGCTATTCAACGGGGTAGCCGACGGCCGCCTGTGGTTATTTACATTTAAATTTGTTAACATTAAATACAATTTTAACCTCAGTTCTTTAGTCTCAGTGACCCGGACACCATAGCCACCTGTGTCTGGTGGCTGCCGTACCGGGCAGCACCGATATGGAATATTCCCATCATCCCAGAAAGTTCTATCGGACCTCGCTGGGCTAAGGGCAGCCCCCAAATGCAGGTGCTCTGCACGGTGCCTCAAACGCAAGGCCCCTGGCTATCCTTCTGCTTACTCTTGGCGAGTGGCTCTAAACAATGACTCTGTGCACACTGGCGAAGTGTGTGGAAAAGCAAGATGACAAGGGGAGTCAGTGTACCCTTGCTGGTGAGCCTGGGGGGCGCCCGGGGCCAGGAGGGTGCGGGGCTCTGGGGTTCCACCCGGAGAGGTTCTTCCCGCTGACGCTCAGCTTCTCCTTCCAGGGCCAGCTTGTGACCAAGGATTACCCGCCGTACGCCCTGGCCGTCATCGGGCTGCTCGTGGCCTCCTCCACCATGTGCATCCCCCTGGTGGCCCTGCGGACTTTTGTCATGCGCTGCCTCAGGAGGGGAGGGGACACAGCCCACGTGGCCTGAGAACTGGGTTCCCAGAGGCCGCTGTCAGCTGCTCACTGTTTCACAGCTACTATTTACAGGTGGAACCTCCGGCTGCTTGTTCAAGTATTTACTCCAGGTGTGCTCAGCCCGCCATCTTCCTGAGTCTATAAAGAAGGATTAGGAAGGTGTGGAGGAAGGAGATCCTCTT